CATGGTCTGTCTACGAGGTGGCTGCACTAGGAAGCGTCCAGCGAGTCCTGTCCAACGTTTCATGGCAACTGCAAGGAGAAGAGGGCCACGTGCACACTTCCTATACATCCCTCAATCCTTGGTGCCAGGGAGTCCTGCCACGGTCTGTTGAGGATGCTGCATTGGAGAAGCGTCTGAAGCATATGGTGTTTCACTGAGGCGGAAAAACCTGCAAGGTAACCCGTGTTACTGGCGAGAACAATACACTAAAATTAATTTTTCAGCAGCAGTCTGTGCCATAAACTTTTCACCTTACTGGCCATTCAGTCCACCTTCTTTCCTAAAAACTAGATATAGATGTCTGAATCTCGATTCACTGGTTCGAATACTAAGTTCAATAGGACTAGACTGGATTGCATTAATATTTGTATTAACAAGACCTTGACATTTTTCTCGAATCATGATGTAACAGTTACATTAAAAATAAATCAAAAGCTCTTTAATAATCTAACAGCCATGTCACCAAATTGACACATTCTGGAAATCTACCGATTCCAACAATTTTTTCTGGCTGCAGACTGCTTTTGATATGCAATTTTTGAAAACTAATCAAATTTTCCTTTCTATTTACAGAACTCAATTAGGGCAATTCCTGATAGTCCCGCTTTTTTGAAAGAGGTGCAAGAAGAGGGGCACATTCAATCCTTGGAGCATGGTTGAATCCTGCCATGGTCTGTATGTCAGGGGGCTGCATGGGGGAGCATCAGACGCATATGGCGTTTCACAGAGATGGAAACCTATCAAGCCTTAAAAGGTACATATTACTCATGTTTTTTGGGGAAAACAAAACACTTAAGTGATTTTTCATACCTTGAAAAAATAAAAAACCGTTAACCACATTAATTTGACAGCTCACATTCAGAAGGCAATGTCTTTTACCCATGACCCACCCCTAGGATTAAGATATTTATGGTTAGTAGATTGGATTTGGGTGGGAGAAGTAAAGAGGGAAATTTATGACTTATAAATTTTTATTTTGTAGTTGAGGCAGATAGCATTGGCGAGCGCCTGTCCTGATGACGGTCCATTTTAACAAGGTTAACAAGGTTAAAATGGAGAAAGCCATGTCAGCTATATCATATGGTGTTTCAAGTGCCCTTTCCTAGTTGTGAATAGAGAGCATTCAAGGTAAGTTTTTGGGCAGGATAAGGGTAAATGAACTAGATTGTCATTCATTGTTTAGATAATACAAATCTTTTATCAGTGCAAATCCAACAAACTGAGCATTTTGTGCAAGGTCTTAGACAAAATTGTTTTAAGTAAAGAATGTTTCGGAACTGTCACTCAGTGCAGACATTCGTTGTCTATTTACAATTTACTCTAGCAAATTCAGTGCTCATATTTCACAGGTAAAAAGCTCTTAATTTGTCACAGATGTGGTAAAGCCTTATCACTCATACAAAATATTTTGACATGCCATTCGTCAACTTTCAGATCCTCAACAGTCTCAATATGCTGCAGGACGTTGTCACTGGTCCAGATTACTTGGAGCTAAGATCTTAGCTTGGAGCTACCGCCCCCACCACCCACCACCACCAATGTGACTCCGGGGCGTGGTTACTGGTCCAGATTACTTGGAGCTACCGCCCCCAACACCCACCACCACCAATGTGACTCCGGGGCGTTGTTACTGGTCCAGAAATTGTATACTAGCAGCTACCATCCCCACCTCCAGTGCTGTGATTGTGGTAATAAAAGGCCATCGTACAAGTGAGTGTCTATTTCCATCTCTCTATATTGTGCAGATTATTAGGCATTTTCCTGGTTTATATGCCTCCCTTTACGCCTCTTGTTCTCCAGTCACTTTCTTTTTGTACATGTAGAATCTTGGCACTCTCCCAATCAATGTTTTTTGTGATGGTTCGTTGTAGCAGAAAGCTACCTTGGGCTGTAGTGTATTTTTCCCTCTTCGGGTACCCTTTCTTAATTCCTTCCCGTGTTCTTTAACTCTAACGTTCAACTTTCTCTTTGTCTCTCCTATGTAAATCCTTCACAAATTAAACACTTGATGGAATACTAGTACACTCCTCCCGCTGGATCTAGATTGTCCAGGCTTTACTTATACCTATCTTTGAGTAGAGTGGTGTAAATGCTGTTAGTGTTTCTTTTCCTTCATTAAAGCCAATTTTTGCAATACCCCATTGTCACATTAAGTCTGAAGGTCGCCAGGGGCATGTCAAAATATTTCGCGTGAATGTTTTTTCAAAGTTTCTGACAAAAGTGCTTTTGATATTTATTTCCCATCAAACTGCTGAAACTTAAAAAACACATTTCATATACAAATGGTTGACTTTTATTACATTTTGAAGTAATGATTTAAATTTGCAGGCTAACAAAAGTGATGGATTCTAAAAACGACGATTGCAACCACCAAACTTTCAGGATCGAGGAATCTTTTCACAGATAACTTTGTAAGTTATTGGGGATCAACAACTTAAAAAAAAGTGGTTCTGAATTTTAAGTATTATTATTGGTGTATTATGGCGTTTCTTATTATTGACAGTGATCAAAAACTATATCTTATGTAAACAAACAGTAGAATTAGAAGTAGCACAGACAGCCAACAATTTAACATGTAGGCTAACATTAGAATATGTAATATAGCAACATCTTTTTTCTTTTTTGTCAAATGTTTGAAGTAATTTATTTTTTGAAGACTGCTGTCTACTTACTCTAAAAATTTAATATATATCTTTCAATAAAGGAAGCATATTTCACTGTACATTTGGAAATGACGCTCATTTTAAGAACCAAGCTTTTCATTAATGTTAACGGTGTGTAAATACCAGTGATATACGCTCTTCGTTGCAGTTACTGCAAGCTTTCGATATAGCTTTTCATACTTTTGAGTAAACGTTGGATTTCATTTGTAGGCTACGAATTGGGAGTTTTCCAGAAATTACGCCTGATGTCAGATAACGTCGACCCTAGACCAAAATGTCCAAGATGTGAAACGCTATGTACAGCGTTAGCAAGGAGCCCTGTGGACACTTTCATGGATGCTCGGACATCCCACGAGTTTTGGTGTTGAAGGACACGGCTTGTTCTGCAAACAAATAAAGAATGTGGATTGGTAATGGAGAGCAATATACAGTACTGAATGTAGTGGGAATACAGTCTAATTATGTATCAGGCTTTTGGATGCTGAGAATATTTGGGGTTCATGGGTCACAAACGTGTCAGGTGAAATTGCATCAAATTTCATTTGTATTTTATGCCTTATGCAGTGAACCATATTACTTCAATAGCTGAAGAGAAAACTGAGGTTCAAGATAATTCTTCATTCCATAGGAGATCAATTGAATAAGGTGTGTGCTTCTGTATGAAAAGTCTACCTCTACAGTTGCTATAATTATTATATTAATGATTAAAATTGAATATAGAGTTGCTTTATCTACATTCTGAATGCAGATAGTTTTTTGCTCACAAAAAAATTCCCACCACTTGTGGTCGTCTGTGTTATGTTTCAATCTGAGATGGTCATTTTTCAAATTTTTGCTTTTGATGATGTGGAGTTGTTTGTCAGTATTGCATTTGAGAAGGTCTTAACCTGCACACTAACCTTACTAACAAACCCTCACATCTTTGTAAAATCTGACTTCATGTAAACGCTTTTACATGAAGAGATTTTACATTGATAGATTGCGCAAAATCTGTAATGAAATATTTTACGTGTGAGAAAATATTTCATTATATTTTTTGTACAGTCTGCTCTTCTTGAGAGATGCTGTCATCTCTCAAGATAGAGATCACATTACTAATATTCAGATTTTCTCAAGTGTTATACTTGACAAATATATCCACTTCATCAGATATGCACCTTTTCTCCGGATCAAAAAAATTCAGATTGAAATTTACATGGGCGGTCATACAGTGTAATGTGAGATCTGAAATATTTTGAAGCAAGCTTGCTTTATTCTGTTCTTATATCATGCAGGTAGTTGCGATTTCAGGACAAAATTACATTGAAGAAACCTGGTATTTTAAGCCAAATTATATACCAAAGTTTAGTTGAAGTCGTTGATATGCCTGAGTTATAATCATATTACTTGAATCTGTTTGCATTTTATCATAAAAAGAACTATAATCAAGTTTTGAAGGATGCTTGCAGTTGTAAAATGTTTAACTTTATTTATGGTTTTATTTCTCCAAGATAAAGTTAAATTGATTCTGTTTAATTATAAGTCTCTTGTTAGTTTTTTATTGGCTTCAGTACCTCTTTCTGTAAGAATTACTTTAATAAGTTTTTATGCTTCACCTTGTGTATAGTATCTATAGAGAATAGTTAGTCAAGACAAAGGTTATTCCGTCTCGCAATGCTGTCTAAATTTCTTGAACTGTACGCAGCGCCGTGCCAATAGAAACCGATTTCATATGTTATAAGGACCGAATTATCCGGGCGTGGGCACTTTCCCGGCATTCCCCACGAAGGGTTTAGACGGGTTTTTCCCCACGGCCCGAGAGCATCTGGTACCAGTTTCCGACCACAAGACCTGCATTAACAGACTGTGTGCGTTCCGACGCTAGATGAAGACGATGGAAAATCTTAGAACATTTGATAATACTGCTATGTATTAATTCATTGCGTTTACGTAGTTCATTACTGATTATTAGTCCTTTTTAAATCAAATGTAAATGTTCAAAATTGTACATAATATTTGAATAAAAAACATTTCTATAATTTTCTTTCTTTTTTGTTGTTTTTTTTTTGTGTGTAAAAAAGTGGTCGTGTACAGATCGCTAAAAAAGCGAGGCTTGCAAATAAATTTAAATGGACTCGCATGTATGCTCGTTTAATCATTAGTAGAAATTATCCTCTTTCGCCTCTCACTTAAACTTTTACAATCTCTTCACTATTTCTGTCACTCCAATTTCTTCCATAAAACTAGCCAATGTCCAGGTAATGAGTTGAATTTTGGTTTTTGGATACAAAACTGTGGTGCTGCGTTACTTTGCTCTCCCGGGCCCCGTAATTCGAAAGCAGCGCGCATTGCGACCGAGCGCAAGCGTGTCGATTCCATAACTCGCCCATGCTCGCCCCATGTAATACACTGTAGCCTCTATGTTATATCGCCGTTCGCAATACGCGATGCTTTTGAGTTACGGAGCCCCAGGGATAACTCGAGCCGTTACCTATACTTTACTGAGTCAAATTAGAGAAGTAACTATCTTACGTAAATAAATCCCGCCGTAGATTTAAGAACCCAACACCTCTTAATGTTAATGAAGGGGTACATTATGAAAATATGTATATGTAAAACCAGAAAAAAAACCAAATTTTTCCATCCCTGTGCCATTGTCCTTATCTACTGGCACTCTTTTATTTTTGCTGTGGGAATTGAGGCCTAAATTTTTTATTCTTAAGTCCCCCGCCCCCATTTCCCTTGGCATATTTGCTGAGAGAATTGAGGCTCAAATTTTATATAAATACATATAACAAGCAAAACTAGACAATTGTTTTCCCATTTCTGTGCCATCAATGGCCTTATCTACTGGTACGCCTTCATAATTGCTGAGGAAATTGTGGCCCAATTTTTTTATTCTTAAGACCCCCTCCCATCCCAATGGCAAAATTTACTTGCTACAAATATTCATACAATTATCATAAATGTGTGTGGTAATATTTTAATAATGTTTAGCGAAGTTTAGAGGCAAATGACGAATATTACATATGTTAAAAATATACATGCAATTATTATTGATTTGTGGTAATGAAATTGTGATGCTGCAAAATAAAATTTACAGCTTTGCTGAGCAGGTGCAACACTTGATAATACTTCCTTTCCGTTTAAGATTTAAGCAAGCCTGTATTTAATATGTATTGTGGTTTTGGAACACTGCCATTATATTATAACTGAAGATGTTCTCAGGAGTTGCCATACCATTAACACAATTCAATTCTCTTATAGATTGTTTCATGGTTGACTTAAATGTTTTAAGGTTGAAAGTAATAATTAATACAGATTCGGTAAATGGTGATTGTAATATTGTTTGTGAGTTCCTGTTTTCATAGTTACTAGTAATTCACACTTAAATTGTAGAAGGAAGATTGCCACGGGACCCATATCTTAGTCTGGTGTTTTTT